AAGAGGGCCTTAGGGGTCCGAAAGGAGCACCTCCCGCCCCACTGTATCGCACCCTCCCATTAAGTGTTGCTAAAGGTTGGGTCGGATCTTATGGCCCTGCCACTGATCCTGGACCTGGAGCGGCCGAAAGGATCATGACCTGATGGCTCGGCCGGTGAAAATGGCCTTGTGGGGGGACTGACATGGTGAGAACTGCAGATTTCCCCCCAACAGTGCTTGCACTGACAGATTCGAAGGAACTGGCCCCGAGATCCCTTTGCAACAAGCTTGCGACGTCGCGCACAATCGCGTCCGGAGCCCCGGACCCCATCGCTCTGCGCAAGTTTTCGAGCCAGATCGATCTGTGAGGGTCCCGGGGCCCGAAATGGCGCGAAGACGCCCGTGGTGAGGAGACCATTGCGTCGCCAGGATCTCTGGGGAGCCCGTCTGTGGCCCGGGCGGCCCCGGTCCCCGTTCCCCGTCCGTCGCCGGCCATTTTGTTCCCGATGGCAGGCCCGTCTGCGGCCCCAGCGGCCGCCTTCCCGCCCCCGGGGCCTCCTCCTCCTCCTCCTCCTCCTCCTCCTCCTCGTCCTCCTCGTCCTCCTCCTCCTCCTCCTCCTCCTCCTCCTCCTCCTCCTCACTCTCCTCCCTCCTCCTCCTCCTCCTCCTCCTCCTCGTCCTCCTCCTCCTCCTCCTCCTCCTCCTCCTCCTCCTTATCCTTCTTTCCTCCTCCTCCCGGCCACGAGGGCGAGGCGGCTGCACTGCACTGCGGTGCAGAGCGCCGCGTGGCGTTGCCTTGCTGTGCACCGCATGGAGCTGCTGCGCAGTGCTCCGCAGTGCTCTGCGCTGGTTTGCCTGCTTCTGCATGGCACCGCGCGGACTGCGCCACCGAGAGCGCACCACACGGATGGCACCACCTGAATTGCCCCGCGCAGGCTGCGGGAAGCCACTGCTTGGGGTCCACGCTGGCTGACACTGTAGAATGGGAGCTGGGTGCGACATGAGACTCAACCGAGTAGCGTCCCCAAAACACCATGTGTCTGATAAGGCGGAGTTTCCGTATATTGTTCACGTCGCTAGAGCGAGCGCGCGACGTTGAACACCATTCGTTCTCGTGATGCGCGTGTTGGATCATTGGAAAATTGGGATACTGAATAGCGAGGAATTTTCAGACGGTAGCGAGAAATTGCCACCAGTTTGCACTCCATCCGCGTAGCTATCAAAGAGTTCAAGTTTCAGGGGCCAAGGATGCGATCCCCCAAAGAACGTCTGCACTCCAGGCTGCCTGCCAGAAGCAGTCGGCTCCTGCTGCTGGGAATCTCCTTCGCCGGCTCGGTCCCCGAGTGTCCCTGGCTCTGGTGCTGCCTTCCGTTGCCGCCAACTCTCGGCCACGCGCAGAGGGGGGTAGGGGGAGGGGGGAAGGCTTCTTGGAAGCACCCCTGCTTCTTAGAAGGCGCGGGCCTTCTTTGTAGATGTAAGGCCGGCGCCTTCTAAGAAGCAGCCTCCTTCTAAGAAGCCCCCCCCCCTCCCCCTGCCCCCCTGTGCGCGCCGCCAAAACTCTCGGTCCCCGGCCCAGTCCCCGACTCTCCCGGGCCCGGGTGCTCCCTCCCGTTGCCACCGATCTCTTTCGCCGGCTGTGCCGGCCGACCCGCCCTGCCAGGTGCCCCTGTCCGCTGCCACTGCCGACTCTCCTTGCCCGCCCCGTCCTCGGGTGCGTCCCCGTTGCTTCCCGCCCGGCGCCGCGTTCCGCTGCCGCCCGTTCTCTCCCGAGCGGCCCCCGCACGGCTCCAGCTCGGGGCCTCCGAAAGCTGCAGCAGATGAAGAATGGAGGATGCTGCTGGAGGACGAGGAGGAAGAGGAGGAGGAGGAGGAGAAGAGGAGAAGAGGAGGAGGAGAAGAGGAGGAGGAGGAGGAGAGGGGGAGGCGTAGGAGGCGAGGGAGAGGAGGAGGAGGAGGAGGAGGAGGAGGAGGAAAAGGCAGGGAAGAGGAGGAGAGGAGGAGGAGCAGGAGGGGGAGGAGGAAGAGGAGGAGGAGAGGGATGATGTGTCGTACAGCTTCTCTGGGATGGCTTTGCCTTTGCGTCCTGGCGCCTTGGGCGGCCGCGCTGCAAACCGTTGACGACAAGCCGATAGGCCATTCACATTCAAGAGTTGGTTCCCGAAGAAGCCATTTGCACTCAGATGGTGGTGCCCGAAGAAATCAGCACAAGGAGGGGGCCGTTGCGGAGAAGCCAGCCGAGAAGCCCTTCACATTCAAGTGGTGGTACCCCAAGAAATACTTCCCGACCGTGTTTGTTGCCATTTGTAGCCGTCGTTCTGCGCAGTCACGGAGGGCTCTCTTGCGGGATATGTGGGCCCACGCGGATTTCGGCCTGGGCAAGTTTTCAACCAGATTCGCATTGTGCAGCGCTGATGATAATTTGACACGCGCGTTGGACGAGGAGAACAATACTTTTGGAGATTTGGTTGTGTTGAATTGTCCAGAAGGCTACGGGAATGGCTTCCTCACCCAGAAGACATTGGCAATCATGCGCGAGTACCTCGATCATCATGCTGACAGGGATTTGTTCATGAAAGTCGACGACGACACATATGCTGCTTGGAGCCGTCTGTATCCATTGCTAGCAGACGCCTGGGCAAATTATTCGACCAGCCTCTATCCAGCTGCCTGCGGCAAGCCCAACCACCAAACCAGCTCAACATCGAAATATACGCAGCATGATTCTGCCAAGCTCTCCCGAAGAGGATCGGTGTAATCATGGCAGGCCCCAGGGCTCTTGGGCCGTCTTGGGCGCCTCGGTTCTACCGAGCTCTCTCAAAAGGTTCGGTTGAATCGTCCAGCGATAGTCTGGGAAGCATCGCTGCGATGCTGCAGCATGGTGCGGCCGTAACTCTTGTGGGCTTCTTGTAGGCTTCTGGCGGGCCTCTTGGAGGCCCTCTCAAGAGCCTCTTGGAGGCTTCCGGGGAGGGGTCTTGGGACAATCTCAGGAGCGAGAGCTCCAAGAAGCTCTTGCGACGAAGCCCAGGAGAACTGGCATGGAGCCGTCCAGGCTGGTGTCGGCGCCCTCTTGCTGTCTTCTGGGGGCGGTCTGGGATGGGGCCGTCTTTGGCGGTCCTCGGACCGCGTTGGGGCTCTCTTGGGGCCGTCTTGGAACTCTCTTGGAGCAATCTGGGACAACCATGCGACCCTCTGCAGCCTTCCCAGAACAATCTTACGCTAGACAGCTTGTGAAGCAAGGCGCATTGGAACACGTGTTTTGTTTATCCGTAATTAAGGGCTTCGCCCCCTGCCGCCGGCCCCCTCTCTATCGGAATGGGATATATCACAGTCGCGTCGGTGCGTCTCGGCGCTGCCTTGGCGCATCTGGGAACAGAGCCGTTGGCATGATCATAATGGTCTTCGGCCCATCCTGCCACCGTCTCTGGGTTGTGGGTCTGAGGCCTCTTGTATATGTGTTGGGATGTCGTGGGGAGCATCTCGGGGGCATCTTTGAGGCGGTTTCGGCGCCTCTTGGGGGCCTCTTGGGGCCTCGTGGGTTATCTTCTGTCCTCTTTGAAGCCTCTTTGGCGCAACTTGGGCGCCTCTTGGGGCCTCTGGGGCCTCCTTTGGGCTTCTCGGAGCGCATCTTGGGCCATCTTGGAGCCCTCTCGGGCCGCATTGGGACCCTCCTGGAGGCGTCTTGGGATGTCTTTGGGCGGTCTTGGGAGCTTCTTAAGCCATCTTGGAGCGTCGGAAAGCTGAAAATGCGAGAACCCAAAACTCCTTCAAACACCTTTTTGTAAACCCGACAGTGTTGGCCTCTTGGAGCTCTCTCGGAGGGCCTCTTGGAGCGCTCATGGGGCCTCTTGTGGCCCTCTTGGACCGTCTTGGAACCATCTTCGGGCGCCTTGGAGCACTCGTGGCCTCTGGAATACGAGCATAGCGTAATTTGCAAAGGTTTCTGGCCACGTGGACGCGAATATTGAATAATGTATGAGGGTTTGTTGCTTCGGGGACGCAAGAGATGGGCAGTTTGCGAGGGTGTGTGGCTTCGGGGACGCGACTATTGCATCACTTGCGAAGGACTCTGTCTTCGGGGACGCGACTACTTAGCAATTTGAAAAGGTATGTGGCCTCGGGGACGCGACGATTGCATAAGTTGTAATGGCTTCTGGCTTCGGGGACGCGAATAATTTGTAATTTGCGATGGTTTGTGGCCTCGGGGATTCAAGAATTATATGATTTGCAAAGGTTATTGGCCATGGGGAGGCGAATGTTATGCTATTTGCAGGGGGTCGGTCGTGGCCTCAGGGGCGCAACTGTGACGTAATTCGTGGGGGATCGTGGCCCCGGATGCGCGAACGTAGTGTAATCAACGGGAGATCGTAGCCTCGGGGGCGCGAATACGGTATATTGTACGAGGGATCGTGGCTTCGGGGACGCGAATCTGGTGTAATCTACGCAGGATCGTGGCCTCGGGGGCGCGAATAGAGCGTAATTTGCGATTGATTATTGCGCCGGGAGCGCGAATCTCATATTTTTTTGCGCGTCCCACGGCCCCGCAGGTGTTCAGACAACGTGATTCGGGGACGGTAACCGAGTCCTTTTCGGCCCCCCCCCGCTCGCGCGGATTTTGATAATTCACAATAGGAAGCAGAAAACAAGACTGTAACATTGGAAACTGGAAACTGGAAACTGGAATTGGCGCAGGGAGCAGCAAACCTAACCCTCGCAGCCTGATGGCCCGACAAGGGGGCTGGCGGATTTAGTGTTCGCCCTCTTCTTCGTATTCGAATGTGTGTTGGGCCTAGAATGGCATTGCTCGATGTCTCCTTGGGGACGCACTTGGGTCTTGTTGTTGGCGCTCAAGGCTTCTTGAAAATTTGTGGGCGCCTGCTGGGGGCGATAGACCGTTTGGGGCATGTTACAATCGTTCGTCTTGGAGTGGTCTTTGACCTTCCTGGGGATTACAAAAGTCCCACCTGCCAGACAGCCATCCTGCATTCTATCAAGCCGCAACGTGCGAGGGCGCGGTGGTGGATATGGGTTCGATGACAAGCAACACTTCAACCAATGGAGTAGATAGAGATCCTTCCAGCCAGTGGTATGAACCACTCGAGAATTGGCCTAACTGCTCATACCCACGGTTCGCAGCTGGCCTTGGCTACATCATCGGCGGCACTTTGGTGCGTCGGATTATCAACGAAGGTATACCAGAAAGGTACATGCTCTGGAACGAGGATGCGGCCATGGGCGTGTGGATCGACGTTGCAAGGCAGCGCGGCGCAAACGTGAGTTATTTTAAGCTCAAGGCCGTTGGCAATTCTTACCCTACGCTCGAGGGTTGGCAGAAGGAGTTGAAGTGGTTCTATCAGGGACCTTTGAAAAAATACATGGGGGTCATGCTGCATCACCACCTGAGTGCCGAGGCAATTTCTTGCCTCAGAGGAGTTGAGCAGAGAGCGCAGAAGCTGTTTGGCAACTACTCCGAGCCAATCGACGCGTGCTTCACCGACGAAGACACGGAGTTCAGGCCAATCATCTGGGACAAGTCGGCAACACGTTGGGCCCAACCTGGCTGCGAGGGCCCCGCAGGCCAGGGGAACGGGGAAAGGCGCGACCACTCGAGCGGTCGCATGCGTTCTTCGTTCAGGCTTTGTTATGGGAGGGGGTTGGCGGTGGGGTCAAAAGCACACATGTCGAGAGGCCCCACAGTCAACGCGCCTAGTAAGGACGCGCGCCTTCCTCTAGGGTACCCTTGAGTCCTTGCCTCTGCGGCCCGTCCTTCGCCGCCCTCACTGGCCGCCCCCCGCCTCAAAAATCCAACTTCGGCCTCCAAGGGTCTTGCGCCCTTACCTCGCGCCCTTACTATACGTGTTGACTGTTAGGGACGGCATCATGCTACAGTGTGTCCGGGCCGGCGGCGTACGAAAGCATGTGGCCGTGCAGTGTTCTTCGGGTGTTGCTAGAAGTACCCCTGGCCCAAGGTGCCCCCAGGATTCTCGGGGTGGCCCAGGCGGCCTCCAGGGCACCCCTCACGAGTCCCACGGGACCGCAGGGGCTCCAAAATGGAGCGAAAAGCTCGGGGCACCTAGGACCAGGGGCACTTCTAGCAACACCCGAGTTCTGGTGGTGTCCTTCCGCCTTCTCCTCCAAGGGGTGGCCGGCATGCCAGACCTCGTCCAGTTCCACCGTGCCCGCCGCGGGGGCCGCCTGTGACCCTGAGCGTCGCAATGTCTGCCTCCTCATTCGGCTCGGCATCGCTCGGGCGTGTGCAGTTTTCCTTCGGCGAGGACCATCGAGGAACATCCCTGATCACTTGGCGAAAAATCCACGCACGAAACCGAAAAAATACAGGGAATGGACGTCCGAGCGATGGCCAGTCGGAGCTCGCTAGGAATCCCAGAAGGCTTCGGGAGCCGGTCAAGTGCGTTCATCCAAAAAAGGCCAGGCTACAGTTTCGCTATATCTTAGAGTCCCAGCCCCATGATCTGAGTTATCTGCAGTTCTGTACAGTTCTCATCTAAGTCGTCTGCAGTCACAATCTCCCTGCCTATATATTATATACGCGGTCACTCGGCCAAGACTCCGCCCTTGTTCTTGCCCGCGCGACATTGGCGACGCTCATGGTTTCCAATGGCAACGTCCCTGGTTCCATATGGCTACGCGTATGGCTACGCATATGGCGTCCTATGGCTAAGGTTGTGAATGCAGGTAGTGTCGGATAGAGCAGGGCCGAGGAGTAGAGTATGATCATGAGTACGAGCACGCGTGGAGTAGAGTAGCGTCGGGCCGAGAAGAGTATCGTCTAGCTTCTACAGCCGAGATGCCGCGTCAAACTCGCCCACATTACCATGAAGCTTTACGCCTTCTGCCGTCGGAGCCATCATTATAGCAAAGCTTCTGCATACCACCGGCTGGAAAGAAGTGCGCAGCGGGAACTTGTCGAGGATCACAACTTATTCCCCAGCTCATCCATGGCTGTGCAAATTGATGAACTCATGTGCGCATCTTGTTATTGCCGTTGACTTGGATTGGCGCGTGCGCGGCCCACGCGGTACCCTGTGTGAGCTCCCGTCGCGCGCGCTGATTGCAACGTGCAAGGCGAGCGCGAGTGCCTCGCGGCAAGCTCTCATGACATCGGCCACGCCTTTTGAAATTACAAGAACATTTGACATCGAAGACGCCTACGGCGAATCATCGCCGCCCCCTGCCTTTTGGAATCACCCACGTGGCCGAACGTTGTGGCCAGAGCTCTGCCAAGCTATCGGACCATGTGTTCCCCCAGCCGCTGTGGAAACCCTTCGGAGAAGACGTGGGGAAGAAAGAAGACGCGGAGGAGAGGGAGGAACATTTGAGAGGAGGAGCAGGTGGAGGAGGTCAGGATGATGAGGAGGAAGAGGGGGCGAAGGAGGCTGAGGAGGAGGAGGGCACGAGGAGGAGGAGGATGAGGACACTTGGGGCCTCCTGGGAGCTTCCTGCGGCCTTGTGGGGGCCTGTTGGAAGCATTGGCCTCTTCGGCCGTGTTAGGGCGTTCCTGGCCCGTCAGACGCTGTCGTCGGAAGCCGTCTTGGATGCCTCTCTGAACCGACTTGGGGCCCTCTTGGGCCGTCTTCAGGCCCTCTTTGGGCCTTCTTGGGGGCCTATGGGGCCGTCCTGAGGTCATAGTAGAGGCCTTTGGGGCGATATTGGAGGCCTCTTGGGCCGTCTTGGGCAATCGAGTGGCCGAAAAGAAGCAAATGGCAAAATCCTTTAGAACCACACGGAAAATCGGCTTCTTCGGGCCCTCCTGGAGGACCTCTTGGAGGCCTCTTGGGCCGTCTTGAAGGCCTGGGGCCGTCTTGGGCAGTCATGGAGGCTTCTTGGGCGGACTTGGACGCATCCTGGGCCCTCTTGGGCCCTCTAGGAGGCCATCTTGGACTATTTCGGGCCGCCTCGGAGGCCATTTTGGGCGTCTTGGAGGCCCCTCGGGCCCTCTTGGGGCCGTCTTGGAGGCTTCTTGGGGCGTCACGGGGTCGTATTGGAGGCCTTTGGGGCCATCTTGGTTTGATCCGTCTTGGGCCGTTCTGGAGGCTTGTTTGGCGAACTTGGAGGCATCTTGGACCCGCTTGGGCCGTCTTGAAGGCCATCTTGGACCATTTTGGGCGAACTTCAGAGCCATCCTGGCCGTCTTGGAGACCGTCTTGGAGCCATCTTGAGAAGCAAAAGCCTTTGCGACCACCTCGCCCGGAGCTTTTCGGGTGACCGGCGCGCTGGGCCGAATCCCCAGGGTGAATTCTTTGGTGGAGGAATTAAAACCAAGCCGAATAGGATTTAGCACGCCAGGCACCCCTGTGACAAGCCAACAGGGGGCGGCGGATCTAGTGGCATTCGGCCCATCACTGTGCGTAGATTTGTAGTCAGTTGCCTTTTGGATGCCCGTGGGGATCTCTTGGGATGCCTGTCGGAAGCCTCGTTGAGGCGATTTTGGGGGTGCCTTGGGGTCGCTCGGGGGCCGCTTGGACGCGTTCTGGGGTCAGACTTCGGTCTTTTTGGGGGGCCTCCTGGTGCTTTGGGGGCCCCTCGGGGGCCTGATGGCGGCCTCGAGGGTCCTCTTGGGGCGGAGGGCTCGACGTGTCGGTCTGGGCTCCTCCTCTTGGAGCTCTCTTGGGACCCTCTTGGGCTCCCGGGGCCGTCTTGGGGGGACTCCTGGGCCGCATGGGGGCGGGCAGAATCAGGCGATCGCAAACATGGATCAAGGGGGCATGGTTTAGCGACGGGTCCCGTTTCCATGGGAAATCGCGGATTTCCGCCGCCGAGCGAGGCGGTACCAGCCGCATTTTGGGGAGGGCACCTCCCCCGATCCATGGATTTGGCGACCGCGTGCCAAATCCATGGATCGCTAATCCATGTTTGCGTGCCCCCGACAGAAGCCCGAAAGGACGAGAACACCCAACTCCTTCAAAAACTTATGGGAACTCCATGGTTTTGGCCTTTAGGGGCCTTCTAGGGGGGCCTTCTGCAGTTCTCTCGGGGCGTCTCTGGGGGCTCCGTGGGGAGCCCTCGTGGCCCGTCGCGGGGCACTCCTGGCTCCGAAACAGAACCATGCGGCAAGGCCCAGAAACGCACGAGAGCGCCCAGGAGCGCGCAGAATCAAGGGAGGAACAACCACCCCGACCCCGATGACCTGTTCGATTCTTTTTTCTGGGCGCGTTTATTGAGCGGCTTCGCTTGTCGGGGTGCTTACAGTCGGGGCGCTGACGCCGGCCTCATTTTCGGGCCCAGCTCGTTCCGAATCGTGCTCCCGCTGCAGCGCTGGCCTCATTTCCGCGCTTCCGCTCGTTCCGACTCGTGCTCCCGCTGCAGCGCTGGCGTCATTTCCCGTGCCATGCCACGGCATGCAATGCAATGCTAGGTTGATATTACGCTTTGCGGTGCTCTTCTACGCCATGCCATGCCGTGCTCTACAATGCATCGCGTACCCTTTCGGGATCATTGCCCTGCTCGACATCCGACTGTGCGAGTAGAGAGGGGATCTACGCCATGGTAAGGGATGGGAGGGAGGGGTAGGATGTCAGATATGACGCGAGCGCACCTAGCTTGCCTCCTCCTCCTCCTCCTCCTCCTCCTCCTCCTCCTCCTCTCCTCCTCCTCCTCCTCCTCCTCCTCCTCCTCCTCCTCCTCCTCCTCCTCCTCCTCCTCCTCCTCCTCCTCCTCCTCCTCCTCCCCCTCCTCGCCCTCCCCTCCTCGGGTCGCTTACGGCCCCGGGGAAAACCGTCCAGCCTGAGGACACTCCAACTCGTGCCTCAGGGCATGGTGGTGGATACGTTGACCGATATGGTTAGGCAGCCGACCGTCTTGCGCATGCGCTCGCAGAACATTGAGCATGTTCTCTTGACGGGCCAGCGCCCTCGCATGTGCAAGCTCACGCGAGACGCTTCGATGCTCCCATGGGTTTGGGACGATTGCGCGCGCATGGGCGACTTGTTTTGGCATGTGCGACTTGTGCGCGCGCAGCCTGCACGGCATTATTCGTAAACGCCGGGCCGGGGCCAGGCAGGACGCCGAATGGGACCTACAGCCGGCCCGGATTAGTAGGTCGACCTCGCCACAAGTCAAGGGCACCCTCGTGTCCCGTGCCTCGCGGCCCGTGCCTCCTGCACTCCTACGGCAAGGCGGCCCTCGGAAGGGTCCTGTGTCTTCTCGCGCGTCCTGTCCTCAGTTGCCTCGATACGCGCGTTTGGAAGCGCGGCACGTCCCGTGTTCGAGACGTCCGTGTCAATACGTTGCGTGCTGGCTCCACGTACTGGACAACGTTTTGGCGAATGTATCGCGTCGGAGCTGCGTTTTCAGCCTACGCGTTGGGTTCCGTATCAATGCGGTACGTGTTGCGTGTTGCGTATCTCGGGCCGGACGAAAGGGGGGGATTGGGAAAGGGGGGGTTACGAAATCTGCTGTATGCAGCTGGTTTCGGCCCCGCCGCCGGGCCCATTCCTCGATACATGGGCGCCTCCCGGCGCCGGGAGGCGCCAGGAAAATCAGTTACTCGAGCTGATTCCCAAACCCCCCCTTTGCTATCCCCCCCTTTCGCCCGACCCGAACAATCAGAAACGAGCACGATTAGGGATGAACGAGGTGTGTGTCTGTGCAGCTGTGCCTTCCTCTATCCTCGGGCGGGCCCCCAGCTCGAAGGATTGCAAACAAAAAAAACGAAGGATTGCAACAAAAAAACGAAGGATTGCAAACAAACCCTGGGTTGCAAAAAAAAACCCTGTTTTTTTTGCAATCCTTCGTTTTTTTGCAGCCTACGTGTTGAGTTCCGTATCAATGCGGTACGTGCTGCGCGTTGCGCGTCGGGGCAGCGGAGGTCCTGCCCAAGGGAAGTCCGACGGGAGGCCGGGGCCGGGGCAGGCGCCAGACGGACGGAGGGCCCCCCGCGGCCCCCTCCCCGCCTCCCGCGGCCTGCAGACCCCCTCGCGCAATGAAAAAATCACGACGGGAGGTTTTTCGTGATTTTCGGCCTCCAGCGGCCCTCGCCGGGCCTCGGGACCGTCAGAAAACGACTCAGAATGAAAAACCGGTCCCGGGGAAGGGGTCCAGACCTCCGGGGGTCGAAGTCGTGAAAAAATCACGACGTCGGGGGTCTGGGGCGGAGGCGCCCCGGCCGCGCCCCGAGGCGCAGGAGGCTCCCGGCCTGCTCCCCTTATGTCGGGGGCGGAAAAGAGGGGGGTGATGACTAG